ATCAGACGAGAGTCAGAGCCAACACTCAACAAATGAACGATGATATCGCAAATTTGAGTATCTGCTTCAAATCGTTCCAAATCCATTCGACGGGAATGAGTGTTGTATGTGGATATTGTCGAAGCGCTTTTTTGGGCAATTACAGTCGCATTCGCGTTCGCATTCGAATGGCAGCCGGCTAGCATAGAGCGAACGAAACACACGAAATTGAAATCGAGGTAATGCCTACTGAAAAATGAATATAATACGATGATATTTTGCTCGAATGCATTTGCTGTAATTTGCAGAATCAACGGCATAGATTTTATTAATATTTTGCAATTTTGATTGCTCAAAACTGGTTTTGCTCATAAATTAAGAAACGAAGTCATTTTTTATCCATTTTATTTGCAAATTTCCATGGAACGAATTTTCAGTGTGTGTGTGTGTGTGTGTGTGTGTGTGTGTGTGTGTGTGTGTGTGTGTGTGTGTGTGTGTGTATGTGTGTTTTTTTTCGCCGCACAATTCGCCTCTTTTACTCTTTGCCGGTCTTAATATGTATGTACTACGTCGTCTTTTTTTCTACGTTAATTTTATCTTTGAAAATGTTTGCCTACTCTTCACATTTGTATATGTCTACCGCAATTATGAGCAATTGCGAACAAAACGACATCTCAATTTTTCCTTCAAACTCCGAAATGACTAGCTTTTAGTTGGAGAAAGGGAGTGCATAGTAGCATTGATGGAGAGTCCATTTGATATGAATAACTAAAATGTGTTATTTCTTTTTTTTTGTGTGTGTGTGTGTGTGTGTGTGTGTTATTTTTCGTATACATTGGTTCGGGCACTATACAGTTAACAACGGAATGGAAACGACGGAAAAATGAAATGAAAGGCTGGAAAAAAAAATGTCTGAAGAATTCGTGTAGTGTGTTTGTTATGCATTGTTACTGCTCTGTGTGTAGTATACAGAATTTGGTTGATGAATAGAAATTGTGCACATATTTAATGAAATACAAGCTAAGCAATGTTCATTGCATGCGGCTGATATTTATTTAAAATCATTATTATTATATAAATGTTAACAATTGTGCATACTTGAAGTAAAACATAACATTTCTAACCGCATAAACACTCTCTATTTCTCATTCTTTTGATATGTGTGGCGTTTTTTTTCCTTCTTTTCCATTTTTCATTTTTTTTCCTTCTACATTTCGTTAGTGTTTCTCTAGCTCTCTTTGCTTCGGCAACGCGACTAGTATACATTTGCTCGAATGCATTGCTTCGTAGGTACCGTACAAATTCTATAATTGTGAGTGCATAATATAAGAAACTTATTACATGATACATTATGGAAAGGAAATTTACATATAGGGTATTGCCGGCGAGGTGACGACGAGAACCGCTTCAAAGTGTAATCATAAAAAAAGCCATTTCAATGAAATGGCTTGTGCGATCTAATTGGTATGCTATGCATAGCGTATGCCCTGCACGATGTGAACCAACATATGTGAAAATATTTTTCTTCCGTCATTTGCAAATTAAAAACCATTTACGTATGAAATTAAAATCATCGTCAGCTAAAACAACTTCGACGACATTCGCTTAGTATGTGCGCTAGCAACGCCCGCGCGAACAATTCGCCTTCTCGCTTGTATGCTAACTATGCTCTGATATGTATATATTAGCCGAACGTCAATAACGACAGACACGATCGAGAATTGACGACGCTTCTGCCTGCTGTTCAATAAACACTACTTCACTCGACAAATCGATTGATTGATTGATCTAACTGGTAAAACGGAATGCTCCGAAAATGCAATCATTTCAAGCTATCAAATATCGACCAACTAAAATTCTCGCATTCTGTTTTGCATAATGACAGCAATTACGTTGTATTTGTTTAAATTTGTCTGGTTTAGTTTACGAATGCTCAAATCGATGCGACGAAAGAAAAGAAGAAAAAGGAAGGAGGAGGAGGAGGAGATTGAGATCTTTTGTGATTGCGATTAAGTCGGTTTTGGAATATTCGGTATGATATTTTGGTGGCCAATCCTATCTAAACAGACACTCTTACGAAAGCGAACAGAGCAAAGTCTCCAGAAAATATAGTTTTTGATCGCATTGTTCTCAACTTCCAACTGATTTTTTTGTACAAAAATACAGTCTCCAATTTAAATTGAGCGACTGAATATGTAATTAATTTTTACTTGAATTTGTCATGGTTTGTCTGAGCAATTTATTTAAAAATAAATAATTGGCATTTGTCATTCCAATTGTATCCGCAACTAAAGAGATGGCGCTGTTCAAATGAAGTCCACAAGTGGATATACAATACAACGTACAATATTCCCGACTATTTTTTTTTTTTAATTCTTTCGATGCAAAGAGCGAAAAGAGACTGAATTTTGGGTCCCAGTTTTTGTTGTCTTCATCAGTTAAATGCTATGCAACCGAATATTAAATACAAAGCGAAATTCAAAATGATTGTTTACACTGAAATAGTGCTACAATGGCACCGCGCACGATGTGAATGACGAGCACTTGGTGTATATCTAAATGATATATTTGCTATATTTATTCGTTTGTTTGCCGAACAAACTCTGAAGGTTCTTCCGTGATTTATGCAATCAAGTTGTGAGCTCTTTCAGTTACACACAATGAGTAGCTGGGCGAATCGTTGGAGCTGACAACTACAACGAACGACGAACGACGGATGAAAAAAAAACCAACTAACTATTCAACCAACACTGATCTGATGGAGAACCATTCCCATTCAACTTATGAACAAATATTGTCAACTTTTTCACTTGGCAAACTATTTTAAGTAGCCGATTTAATAGCATTATTTGGCTTCCCGTGCCAACTGGTATCGCCTGAGAACTGAGTAGTTTGGTTGTCGCTAATTCTTTTCAACTTTTCTCTCTCTCTCTCTCTCTCTCTCTCTCTCTCTCTCTCGACCAAATCTGGTTGCTGTAAACTTATCCAATAGCTCAACTGTAGGCCGTTTTTTTGAGGTGGAAATGCAGTGCATTCAGTAAGGCATCATACATGCATTAATACAAAATAGAATCGGTGCCGACACATCGATGCAATATGCAATACCACATGTACACAAGTACTTTGCACACCAACAGTAAAATACAAATGTTCACATCGGCACTAGAGTCAAAGCGATGTGCAAAGCTGATGGCGTGTACAGATAGAGAGAGAAAGAGAGAGAGAGAGAGCATATATGTAAATTAGAATTAATCGTATTTTTTCGTAATTTTTTTTTTCATTTCTTCTCTCGTACGTTTGACTACTCTGCTTGCCCTTGTTACGCTCTACGCCAGTAATCTTATTGTTTGGCTTGCTTTAGGCACATTTTTAAGAGCAATTTGAGAAGCGGGACAAACAACTAGAAACGAACCGGTGTCGCTCGGGTGTTTGAAATGCTCTTGATTTGCTAATGAGTATATTCATTTTCACTTATCAATTCGTAAATTGGCGAAAATCGGAGCACAACTTCATTTTTAGCTTCTCAACGATCGAACGAGAGAGAGAGAGAGAGAGAGAGAGAGAGAGAGAGAGAGAGAGAGA